GAAAAAATAGTTAAAAGTATAAATGACAGGAGGCAGAGACATCCTTCACCTTGAGGTGGGGATGCTGTTTGTGCTGCTGTATGTAGGAGGGGTACATGTGTTTGAGGGTGTATGTAGGAGGGGTACATGTGTTTGGGGGTGTATGTAGGAGGGGTACATGTGTTTGGGGGTGTATGTAGGTGGGGTGCCTGTGTTATTAGAAGTCACTCCTGCGTGCCCAGGGGTCACCCAGCGAGGCTGAGCGTTGGTTTGAAGTTTGTCTCCCCGACCCCCGGCGTGTCGGTGGGAAGCTGCATGCCGGGGGTTGATATTGCTTGAATTAACCTTCCTGGCGGCGGCGAATCCCCGGGAGATTGACAGGGTTTAATGGAGGGCAGTTTCACGCTAAAGACAAAAACAAGCCAATGACCGCAGATTGCAGTGATTTGTATCCTTGCAGATACAAACTTCATTTCGCCGTGTAAAGGTCAGGGCTGCGCCTGCCGCCTCTCACAGCATGGAGAGGCCTCACGGCCCTGACATTTATATCCAGAAATGAAGTTTAGATCTGAAATGAGATTAGAAATTATTTTAGTCTTACTGTACTATTGTAAAGCATTTCATGTTTTCTGCCTGCCTGTCTGTCTTTCTGTCGGTCTCTCTGTCTATCTATCTGTCTATCTGTCTATCTATCTATCTTTATTTATTTGCTTATTGGTTAGATATGATACAGGTGCACACGCACTCCCCCTCTCGGTGGCTGCTGTATTAATAATCATGCATTTATCGATTCAGAGCAGCCGACATGTTCCAACAGCTGTAAAACACTGAGGGTTCGATTTTCACGGCCGTAACGGCGTTCGCGGTGTTTGGCCATGGGTGGTAACGGCGCGTGTGCGCAGTGCACCATGATGGAAAACTCACAGGCACACAGCGTGCACCTCTGACCTTTTTAGAACACTCTGAATGCGTCCGCCAGCCCTAACACCTGCCTGCTCGGCTGGATTCATCACTAGTGGTTATTTGCATAGAAATGGCCTCATTTAATTAGAATAAATGTTTTGTGTGCGTGTGTGTGTGTGTGTGTGTGTGTGTGTGTGTGTGTGTGTGTGAGTGCATGTGTGCTTGCGTGCGTGTGTGAGTGTGTGCGCGAGTGCATTTGCATATGTGGTGTTTGAATGAGTGTGTGTGTGTGTGTGTGTGTGTGTATGCTTGTGTCTGCATATGCATGTGTGTGTGCGTGTGTGCCTGTGTGTGTGTATGCGTATGCATGTGTCTCAGTAGCAGGGTAGAAACAATGATTGCTAAAGATGTAAGTACGAGTGTGAGTGGGCACACATGCCCCCCCCAACAGAGCTGCTTCCTCTGAGAGACTCATGGACCTGCTGCACTGAGCCGGCAGTGTTCTTTCATCAGCAGAAACCTCTCCACAATGCACTCTCCGCTGGAAATGAGACCGGGAAATGGAAGGTATCATTCTCTCTGGCCGTTTCTTGTGGATTTCGGCAGGGATGGGGTGTTGGGGGAGGGGGGGGGGGCAGGAACTATAAAACGCCTGCCGAATGTGAAGAGAGGAGAAGAAAGGAGACAGAGGAGTCTGTAATTACCTCTTTTCCCTTTAAAATCCAAACACAGGAAGGAAGGCAACAAGGAAAGAACAAGGACAAACTTTGTTTGTGCTTGCTCCTTGGGCAGTGGCAGATCTGGCTCTGGTTTTGGGAATCTAATTTCAAAATCTAAAGTCGCAGAAAAGTCCTTCCTGCTGATACTGTAAGTCCTCCCAGCGATGAGTCTTACATCGCGCTGATAATGGCAGCTAAGGGAGCTGTGCTGGGGGATGCTATCTGTGTGACCTCTGACCTCCCTTCCCCAAAGAGGGAGTACTTTTATAGCAATTAACCCTGATCAGTGCATTTTAATGAGCTATCAGGATCAGGCAGTGTTGCTCCCAGCCTCTCTCCACATGACCTCGCTGTACCTGCTCGTCAGAACCCCGCCATTTACCTGGGCAAAGGTCAGCGTTGCCACGGGAAGCCGCGGGAAGGGGAGGAGTTCTCTCCTTGTGGCGGCGGGGGGGGGGGGTGGGGGTTGTTGTTCGGTCCCCTAACGGCGAAAGGGCCCATGACCTTTATCGCTGCTGACGAGTGTCGTCTGAAGGTTGGTTTTAGCCTGTGGAAAACGGGGAAAACGGCCTTATTAATACGCGAGAAGCGGTGTGCGGAAGGGTGCAACACAGCGCCGAAGCACTCTGTGCGTAAGAGCCCGTACGCCCTTAACGTGGCTTTCAGTTCGGCTTCCGCGGGCGAGAGTCAGCATCATCACCGAATTGCAAAGGAGACAGACACGTGAGCCTCCCCCCCTCCCTCTCCCCCTCCCCCCAAAACAAGCGCGCCTTAATTGGGGTTACACGCGAGGCTGTATGACCCGGAGCAAATAGGACACAGCTGAACATTAATTTAGTCGTTTGTCGAGTGTTTGCGCCGCCGATGCCACCTTGTTAAAATGTGCCGCCGCCGCGGTCCGCGTTAAATTGCGGAGGAAGGCCTGGGAAATAAAAGTGTCAATTTGCGGCGGCTCGTAAGCTAATGAATATTTGAATAATGAATGGGGAGAAACACGAGTCCTCAGCGGCGTGGACCCTCCCTGCCGGGGCTCGGGGGAGCACGGCTCGGAGAAAAACATGTTTTCGGCGCTGTCTTCCTCGGCGGCTAACAGGTGGGGAACAAGAAGCACTCTGTACCGTAGGAAATGTAAACATAATTAAAGCGCTGTTCAAAGACCGCTCGCCTTTGATTATTCATGGGGTTGAATAGCAGGTGAGGCGGCCCACCGAACGCCTTGCTTTTGCGATCTGCAGGCCAAGGCCGAGGTATTCAATGGGAGCAAACGTTCCACCTTCGTGTTTGGTTGAACCTTTAAATAGTAAAAATAAAGCAGCAATAAAAAAATTTCTGTTTATAACTGGGTAGAAGGAAACATGGAACCGCGGTGCTCTGTGACATCAGAGATGGAACCCTGGCAGGGCAGAGCTGTAATCCGTGTGGCTGTGTGAGGATTAAAGCTTTCTGTTAAAAGGACCCGCAGGCTGTACGTGTATAGGTAACAGGTACCCTAACAAAGGCTGTGTCGCGTTCGTTCAGGCTTTGACCTATCAACAAGGAAAGCACACATGTACACCCACATACGCACACACACACACACACACACACAAAAGGCATAGACACATATGCATACATGCGCACACACACATGCATGCATACACACATGTGTAAACACACATGTAAACATGTACACACACACACACACACACACACACACACACACACACAATTTTACCTTCCTAAGAGCTATTTCTTACTCCCAGCTGGCCATGAAAGAGTGGGCCACTTTAATGAACTGCATACAGGTGGATGCTGTAAAGGGAACTCAACATTCATCTGAGAGGCTGGGCTCTGCCTCAACTCTGCTTTTCTGCTTGTCTCTGCCGCCAATCCCACCCCCAACCCCCTCACCCTAAACACCGTGCTCTACACAGCAGGAAGTCACCGGGCCAAAGTACTTTCTCATCTCTGACGCTCACTCTCTTTACCTCATCATGCATGACAAACAGGCTGCCAGGAAGAACAGCGATGGGGAAAAAAGTCAACCCGACACCCCACCGTGGAGCCCTCTTAAAACAGCTCTCTAGCAAAATGAGAGGAGTCAGGGCCGGAGCACGGAGGAAAGCTCAGCCCTAACGCCGCACAGTGCATAAAAGCATTAGCCGGAGCACCGAGGCAATCTTAAAGAGGGGCAACTACATGCATTTATACTCTACACTTCATTTATACTTTATAGTTTAAGGGAAAATGTGGCCCGCCAACATGGACAGCTTGGTAAACATAAAAAAACTGTAAATATGCCATGGCTTTAAATAGAATTTGCTTTGCAACATTTTTAAACATCCCCCTTCTTTCAGAACCGCTTTATAGGCTAGAATACATCTGATGAGGAGTGTTGGAAAGTAAACAGTTAAAGAAATGCAGGCAAAAGTGCTTTGGGAAAAAAAAAAACCCATACCCGTTTTCATTACCAGTGATTGAGATTTGGTCAAGAAGAAAATGGATCTGTTGTTGTTGTTTTTGTTGGTTGATTACACATTACGCTTCTACAGAGCTGGATATTTACTGAAGCATTGCAGGTTAAGTACCTGCCTCTGGGGTACAAAGCAGCAGTGCCCCATCTGGGATTTGACCCTGCAACCTCTTCACGCTTAGCAGGCACTTGTTTCCTGTCTTTTTTTCCAATTTCCTTTTTTAATTGAAAAACGTTTAATTCATCCGATTTTTTTCAGACCAATAGGTTCACCCGTTTTATTGATAAATGCTCTCACAGAATCCCACCCCCCACTCCCTTGCATTGTTGCCTACTACCAGATAAATAATTAAGATTCAGGAAGCACTGTATTTGAGTAGATGGATGGACTCTGGGCCCTGCTAGACCTTCCATGAACAATACACCTGTGAATGATTCATTTGCCTAAAGGAAGGAAGCCTATGGAGGAAATGGAACAGCGAAAGAAAGAAATTTTATAAAAGGAAAAAAAAAGGGAGAAGGGAAAAAAAAAAAAATGTGCACAGCCCCTCAAAGCATCCAGGTCGATATATTTCAAGCTCAACCATCTATGCTAAACAAGAGTCAAAATTGCTAAAAGCGGTGAGTAAATTTTAATGCATGAATGTGCGCAAGAGAAATTAAAGGCCTCCAGCGTGCCGTAAACCCTCATCCGTCAGCCGGGAATGAAGTGCCCATTACTATTGAAGGCTTCAGTTAATCACCGAGCGATCTCCGAATGCGCGGGGGGCTCCTGTAATTGCCTTCTGATGCCCTCTGTCACCCCTCGGTTTTAATCCCGAACCTGTGGCGTGTGATGCATTGTGTTGTCCTCCCTGTCGCGTTCGTGGTCTGTGTTCACGGAACCTGCAGATAAATAAACACTGAGGAAGGAGCTAGGGTTGGAGCAAAGGCAAGGCCAAATGGGCGGCAGTGTAGCATAGTGGTTAAGGAGTAGGACTCGTAACCGAAAGGTTGCTGGTTCAATTCCCTGGGGCACTGCTGTTGCACTGTTGGGCAAGGTATTTAACCCAGAATTGCCTCAGTAAATATCCAGCTGTATAAATGGGTAACATGTAAAAACTGTAACCTATGTAAGTCGTTCTGGATAGGGCATCTCCTAAATGCCTGTAATGTAATGTAATATAATGTAAGGCCGTCTTCAGACCCGGGTAAGACACAACCGTCTCAGTCTTCAGCCTTGAAAGTGTGGCCGTCATCCGCGCCCCCTACCAAGGGAGGATGAGAGGTCACCCGATAAAAATGGCGGCAAAAGGGCAGAGATTGCATCTCGGACGGGGGGGGGTTCTGTAATCTGACCTGGCGTCAGGTCTGCGATCCCGCTATTTATAACCCAGCCGATGGAAGGAACAAGGCGAGACGTGGCCCTTTCTATTGATTTATTTATAATGGGTTCCCTGAATGTGAGACTTGAAGGCAAGTGAGATCATGCTCCTTTTCCCTCCGAGTGGTCTGAGGCGGGGGAAACTTCGGTCCCGGTCAGAACACCCTGTAGTGTTCTTAATGCAGTGAACTTCAGGACAAGCACAATGGAGGAGGAAAAAAACTGGTCAACATTCAATGGGTGCAAAAAAGACACATTGTTGAAATAAACTGGAACCATGAAATTGTGGGTAATAATTTCTTGGCTGTAAATATTAATGGAATTCTTTCTTTTCTTTTCTTTTCCATGTCGCCGGTGTGCCTTTGAACTCCCAAACAGGTAAGTTTTGGATGTTTTTATTTTATTTTAGTTATTTGAAAACTTACTCTGCCCCTTTGAAAGCACTGTCCAATGGAAAGGTGTGTTCACACGGCCAGAGCCAATCAGCAAGCAGTCAAATGATACTTGTGGCAGTCACATGATGGGCAGGCACCATGGGGCCTTCTTGTCAAAATGGCCGCCCCACAGTAAGTGCAGATTAGCGCTTAAAGAGAAAGCCACGTCAGCAAGCTGGAGCAGCCAGGTGCAGTGACTGTGGGGAATTTGTAGAGAGAAGCATGATGGGTATTTTTTTTTTTTTTTTTTTTTGGGCTTTTGAGTTGGAGACCCCCCTCTGTGTAGGGGGACTCTCCCAGCGGGGGACTGGTGAACCTCTCGGTTTCCAGGGAGGGTGGTAGCAGCGGGGGGCTGTCATGTTGTGTCGAGCTGGAAGCAGCGGATGGGAACGTTCCCCTCTTCTATGGAGGCAGCGGGCTACCTCACACTGCCTCTCTTAGCTCTGTCACACAGACTCTCCTCCCCAGGATGCCATACAGGAGACCTGCCAGTAACGAGTGAAGCAGCTGCAGGCTGAGAGAACACTAACACTAATGCTGATGCTAATGCTAATACAAATGTTAACGCTAATGCTAATACTAATACTAATGCCAATACTGATACAAATGCTAACGCTAACACTAATGCTAATAACAATGCTAACATTAATTCTAATACTAACACTAACACTAATACTAGCATTAATACTAGCACTAACACTAATACCAACACTAATACTAATAATAATGCATGTTTCTTCAACATTTTCACTTCCAAATATGTAAGAATATTGTATAATACTGTAATGTCTTTGTTAGAAAACAGATAAAAATAATAATTACTATCTACCTTCAGTGGATCAATTTGGATTCATTTTACATCTTCATATTTAACAGTCGATGATGTACAAAGGAAAAGGTAGTCCAAACTACCACATATAAGAAGAATAAATTCAGCAAGGCAAAGCTGCTATAGCTGGTTATAACTGGTTATAGCTGGTAATAGACTCTTTTTGTCTCTATATATATTCAGCCCTGTACAGAATGACTCTTCTGTATTAGGACCATTCTTTATTTGGTATAGGACCCTTCTTCCCTACTGCTGTACCGAATGAATTAAGATAATTAACCTAATCAGTTTTCATCATCACTGCAGACAACGCTCAACAGTTGGGTTAAGAATTTAGTGCTGGCCTTTGCTACAGAACTAATCTAATAAGACCTGGCCATTATTCTTCCAAGCAAGTCTCTCATAAGAGGATCAGCATTGCTGATAGCATTTGATAGCATTACTAATTATAACAATCGTTTGCAGAATTATCTCATCAAAGGTTAATTGCGTCTTAATTGCGCTCGTGTCTTTTGTTTTTTTGTGGCAATTCAATTAGTTCACATTTCCCTGTTTACTTTAATACTTAGTAGAATAAAAAATAATAATAACAACAGGAGGAGAAGACTAAAACGATTCCCCGTAAGTCTTTTTTTTCTTCCTCCCAGTGATAATCTCTCTTGGAACATTGAGCCCTAAAGCTTGATACACTATCTGAGATTCAATTCTTTGAAGATCGCTTTTAAAATCAATGCCGAAAGTCATTGACTGAGCAGATTGCAGTAAATCCTCCATCCATTATGTATTGTTTAGGCACTCAATCACAAATCTTACATGGCTCTGTGAGGAAACCGAGGCTGTTATGCTCTATTATATCGGGTGTATTTTCCCCCTCCGGGCGACGGGGGAGGGAAAACTGACACCCATGTTATTCGAACCAAAGATCCAATTGAACGGGCTGAATAGCAGAGGCGTTTCGGCGGCGAGGGACTCCCCAGGGAGCGACTGGGACACGCACAGACGCCTGTTTCCCGCCAGCGCGTTCACACACCAGCGCTGCTGTTTGTGGAACGCGCGGTTACGCTCACTCCCGGCACACTTGATCGTGGCTCGTCTGCGTACGGCCGCCTGACCCGCGATCCGCCTAGCGCAGACCGTGTTTCGGAAAAAAGCAGGTGACTCGTCGCAGCCCGGTTGTAGGTGGGCGGCACTGATTTTGCGCTGCCTTTGTGGCCAGCTCGCTCGGAGTGACCGCGCTGACCTCAGAACAGTGTGCACTCAATCAGGATTCAATCCCCAGCCAAGAGGCTCGGGTATTGCAAAACGGAACCAGCTGCCTCTCTGTTCATCTATAAAGGGTTTGTTTAGCTGACAAACAGCGAAGGAAAGAGGGAATATGATGGAAGAGAATCAGATTATCTCTGTCCTCAGGCACTGCGGCATTGTAGGTTGGCAAGTTTTATTTGCAGAATAAGCATACGCAGACAGCACTAATTTGGCTGTAATGCAAGTTAAAAGCACACATTGGCTCCTTGACTGTCCATTGGTGCTGCAATGCAGAAGGCACAAATACTGTTTTCATTCCTTCAACCTGCTACAGTGGGTTTTTTTTTTTTTTTTTTCAGGCAACTGAAGCAAAAACTGAGGATAGACAGGCTCATGAACCTGGATTGTTTACAGGGTCAGCCACAGGTTTGGAAGAAGCCAGGAAAGACAGGGAGAAATATTAGCATAGCACAGGAAGGCGGTATCTTTAAGCCTTTCCGTTGCCCCTCTGTAAGCGGGCTGTTAAGGTGTCTGTGAGCGAGGCCAGCAGAGGGAAGAGATGAGGGTGATGGGAGACTACACTAGCTCTCCGAGTTCACTCTGCGTCCCAGCACAATTCATTATTGATCCACTCGCGGGGACTCAGGCCAATCAACACAACATTACTCTCCTCTGAGATCACTACTGAGGCTGAGTGGGGCAGCAGTGTAGCACAGTGGTAATAAGCAGGGCTCCTGACGGAAAGGTTGCTGGTTTGATTCCCTGCTGGGGCACTGCTGCTGTACCCTTGGGCAGAGGTAGCCCAGAATTGCCTCAGTAAACATCCAGCCATATAAACGGATAGCATGTAAAAATTGTATCTATGTAAGTCACTTGCTAAATGAAAATAATGTACTGTAATGTAATTTAGCACAGCCTTTTCATATAGAACGAAATGGTTTCCACAACCATGAACTGGAGCTTCATCACCAGAAATATTCTGGCAGACTTTTAGCATCAGTCAAAAAAAAGTTGGAAAAGGCAACAAAGAATTTTTTTGCTTAGTTTGTCGTGTTGTTTTTTTCCTTGATTTCTTGTTGTCATTCAGTGAAACCCATGACAGAGAGCTGAAAAAAGATTTATCTGTTTCACCCTTTGAGGATTCAGTTCCTGGCAACGCGGTTTACGACGTTTTCCAGGAATGCGTTGTGTCATAAAACAGGGGGTCTGTGAGCGCTTTATTTTACACGGGTCCTCTTCAGTGGCATTCGGCGAGGGAATGAGAGAGAGTGCTTTGTGAAAATGGAGATAAACTATTTATGGCCACCACTGTGTTTTAGTAATTGTCTGTCTCAAGGGTCCTTTGTGAACATTAACTGCCAGAAATCAGCTGCTAAATCTCCCTCCCGGCATGATAAATATAAAGACTCTGAAAGGGCCTACACATGTCGGCTTTTCAGCTCTGTGGTTAGGACTTTAAACCACTGTCTGGACTGCAGGTGCACCATTTAAAAGCCTCTCAGAGGGTAGACAGACATATTATACTGCCATATTAAGTGATATGATATGTATTACAATATATGTTACAATGAATGCAGATCATGTCATAAGCAATTGAATGGTTGCTTAAATCTGTGTCTAAACTTGATATTTTCATGCTACAGATGTTGACCTAATGATAGCATGATGATAACGGGCAGTGGTCTATTTATTTTCCATTTGTTTTGTGCGTTTGTTCTCAACTGTAAAATTAGGGGATGAAACAAAAGCCAAAAACAACAAAAAACAAAATTTTCATCTTCAGAGCAGAACAGTCAGCCGAAATGTATGTGGTAGACCTTGTGACAGCACTTCCCAACCCATCTTAGGAAATAATGTGCTTATTCTTACAGCAAGCTGCACAACGTCACACCCATTACAGTCTGGGTAACCTTTTCCAGTGCTTAAACAGAAGCATATATATGCCATCCTACTGCTACCTTGGCTTTGCCATCTGTAATTCTTAAAGCTGTAAAAGTGACTGGAAACCATGGCAACAGCTGCATGAAACTTTCTGGAAATGTTCAGGAAATGCTCATAAAATGTTCAGGAAATGCTCATGAAACATTCAGGGAATTTTCAGGGAATGCTCATGAAATGTTCAGAAAATGTTCAGGAAATGCCCATGAAATGT